CTATCGCATGCATCATCCCAAAGCTGATGTTGATCGTCTGTATGTGCCCAGATCCGAAGAAGGCAGAGGATTAGTTCAACGAGAACTGTCCTACAAAACTACAACAATTGGCCTCCGAAGATTCTTGGAAACTACAGAAGACTGGATGATGGTATGCGTCAAGGAACATGAAAGTAGTAAGCGTCTTTACTCCGTAATAAAGGAAGCCAACAAATTCAAAATGGAGTTTCAAATGGGCGTAGAGATGCAACTACAGCACAATACACTGGCTGAAACTGCAAAATACTTTAAAAAAAAGACAGCAAAGACGAATGCAACCGACCAGATACAGAAGCGATGGAAAGATAAACCGCTTCATGGCCAATACTCTGCCCGTACCAAACAAGCTGACGTAGACAAAACCCGTACCCATCAGTGGCTACGTAGTGCAGGGGTTGAAAGCTGAAACTGAAGGTTTTATCCTAGCTGCACAGGACCAATGCTTGCTAACTAGGAATTATCAAGCACATATACTAAAAATATTGTGTCAGCCCAAAATGCAGATTCTGTGATAAATATCCAGAAACGATTGATCATCTTGTATCAGGTTGCACGATATTGGCACCCACTGAATATAAAACCCGGCATGACAGAGTGGGCCAATATCTGCACTGGAAAATCTGCAACTCCTACGGGAAGGAAACTGAAAGAAACTGGTATGAACACCACCCATACCCGGTTACGGAGATAGGACCTGTTACAATTCTATGGGACTACACAATATACACTGACAGAACAATCAAAGCCAACCGCCCAGATATTGTTATTAAAGACCACAAACAAAAAAGTGCCTCCTTATTGATATGACAGTCTCTGCAGACTGCAATGTATCTTTGAAGATATTCAAAAAGCTGTCAAAATACAAGGACCTTGAAATCGAAATCTCAAAAATGTGGCACATGGGAATATCAACAATCCCTGTTGTAATTGGAACCCTAGGATTGGTTGGAAAAGATTCCAGTAGAGTAACTGAAGGGATTCCCGGAAGTCCATGCCTCAAAGAAATACAAAAAATTGTCCTCACAACTACAGCCCACACTTTACGAAGGGCTTTATCTATGTAAAATTTTTTTTTTTTTTTTTGTCAGTGGAAAGTGTCATGATGCCATTTCTAACCTTAGGTCCCTGGGTGAGACCCGGAAAGAAATGTGTAAACGCCAGAAATCAAAGAAAATAAAAATAATAATAATAATAATAATAATAATAATAGATTTCGACATTAAACAGTGCAGTAAGTGTTGACAGGTCGTAAAATCAACCTACCCAAATAGTCTTCTGGCTTGGATGAGAGCAATCTAAAAGTCTCACAATGATTTACTTTTATTTACTTTCAATGACATCTGCTTTTTGCTTACAGCATTTGTTTATATGGTTACACCAAAGTTTCTCCCATAATTCCCCAAAGTATTATTTCCTCTCCGCTTTCATTTATTAATGTCATTCTTCCTTCATCGAATTTTCACACCATTAGTAACAGGTATCTTTCACTAGAGGTCAAGTGACAACCTTTGCCTTTTATGGGAAATTTTCCAATGACGGAAGTGGAAGATGTGCTTTGTTAACTGTATTTTGGAATAAAATATTTTAGTAGCATCGTGATTTCCCACCTGAAGAAAGGTTAATTTTTTAGCATTGGAACAAGATGTACGGTTTTGTAGAGGATATCTACATGTTCTAATGGAACAGTGCATAATATATATATATATATATATATATATATATATATATATATATAATATATCTATATATATATATTATTATAATATATATATATATATATGATATATATAGATATATAGATAGCCTCTGGCACTATCGGTGCTGATAGGTCAGAGGTAAAATCTCCGACTAATTTAGCAACAGTCGGGTTTCGATCCAGGCTTGAGTTATTCGGATGTCTGGCTACACTCATCCGTCATTCAGCTACAGTCTCACCGTGGATGACTATATAAATGTTTCATTCAATATGAAAGACAAGGAAAATTTCATGAATTTTTTTTTTCCTAGTATTCTTATTTTTTTTTCCCTGTTTGGTTGGAGTAAGAGAATGTGAAAATTGTCCATAGTGTATATTGTCCCAAGCGCTTTCGGTCACTACTTTAGCCATCGTCAAGGGGTTTATTTTTAATTATTTTGAAATTCTTTTCAGTTATCTTTTAAGATATAATTGCGTGATGCATATTTTTTGTTCACACAATTCCATCTTAAAAGAAAACCGCGAAAAGAAATTAGTTAACAACGAACCCTTTGCAAATGGCTAAGGAATTGTCCAAAAACGAGTGGGACAGTAGACACCAAATGGGATAATTTTAGAATACTAAACAAAATCAATAAAATTCATAAAAATTCCATTATCTTCAACAAAACAAGTTTCAAAAAAGGTTGCGGCTCATATATATATATATATATATATATATATATATATATATATATATATATATATATATATATATATAAGATAATCCTAAGAGGCCAGGCAAACCTACCTAGGTTTCACCTCAAGTGTCAAGGGATCTTCAGGGTAAAGCCCTCCTATTTTTCCTCGGGTACCGATTTGTTCTATTGCAAGTTGAGCTATCCTAGGTTTTTTCCAAACGAGTACCACTATATACATATATATATATATATATATATATATATATATATATATATATATATATATATATATATATATATATATATATATATATATATATATATATATATATATATATATATATATATATATATATATATAGATCAAGATATATATATGATAGATGAAATAAGAGACTAACATATACATATTAGGCAGAAAGAATCATACTCCTGATGAGCAAGTTAGTTCAAGAAAAGTATACAAGTACACAGAATTGGGTGAGAAGAATGATCCACTGAGAACTGTGCAAACGACTACAATTCAACCACACAAACCAGTCATGTATGCACTAAGCAAAATGAAAAAGACAGAGTTTTCTCTGGAAAGTTGAGGTTCAAACAGATCTTTTGATCCAGCCAGATCAGAGATTGTGGTGACCAAAGAGAAAACAACGTTTTCGCTAATAGCAGCCAACAATATTAAAATATAATCAAAAGGTTTATAAGTATATAAACATTGTCAGGAAACATTGTCATTGTGGAGGATGAAGATGAAGGTATTACCGATCGTAGTTAGAGCACTGGGAACAAATATGGCTGGATAAATAAAAATTACTGTGGTGGCTTGCTGTCACTTGATTTCCAGTGTAAACTGTAATTTTTGGAACAGAAGTAGAGTTTCATCTCTTGTTTCCTGTTTATGATTGGGTTTCCGCTTCAGTCTAAAGTTTTATCATTCTCTTTCACTCCCAGAAGACTTGCATCTTAGTGGTATTATCGCCTTTCTTGGAGTGAATTGATTAAAAAAATCCTTTACAATGCAACTTCGGATTTCTGAGTCACATTTTCCGTCGTCTGCCATGACACTTCCCAGGTAAATTTCTATAGCTGCACCTGTGAAATTTCTGTAAAGACGAAAGGTGGTCCTGTTTGCGTGGCTTAAAAAATGTTGTCGATTATTTGACACTTATTCCCAACTGAGGAAGGATGTGAATGTCAGAATAGGATTTTGATTCTAATTCGATTGATTTGTTTAACGGCATATAAGCTCCTTATGGATCATTTAATGCAGAAATTTAATTTTGTTAAGAGCTTTCAAGTAATAAATGATATACGTTATTCTGCTTTCATAGTTGGATGCATGGTAGATGTTACTCAGATTTTGTACATGTTTGTGTAGACATAATTACGAGAGGTAGTGATATGTGCGTTTTATGTTGTGGTTTTGTTGAAGTTATATTTCGGAATACAATTTGATTTCTTTAAGAAATTGTAGGATATTATATGAATTAAAGTTATGAAAGAGTTCTCTCATGTTGGTTGTTTGGTTGATTTTATTTATCGATATATCAAGGGCATGGCAGGAATTGAAGGAAATAATTTAATCGTGCCGGTACTTCTATTTGTTAGACAAAAATACTTAAGTGATTTACAACCGTTATTAAATAAAACTTATGAATTAATAACAATTGCTGAGCTTCTTTCTGATTGGTTGAAATCGTCCAAATCACTTTTTGTTTACGCAAAGCAGATCCGGTCGTCTGGCCTGGGTTGGGGAATTTATTCGAATCTGAAAGTTTCAGAGGATTTTATGCGTTTTATTGTTTAGGGCAGATTCTGGTTTGTGTACATATGATTGGTTTATAGAGTAAAAATATCTAGGATTAGCTTGTAAGTTAATAATGTAGTCCCTTGCACAGTTCTCAGTGGAACACCACTTTCACCCACGCATGCCTATTTTTATGTTCATTATAGGCTGACACACTATTATTGTATTATTATAACAACATTAAATCTTTATCTTAAAAGTTCGGGTTTTTTATCTATTTTCAAGCAATAACAACAGCATCTGTGTCGGTTTGATGATTCTAACTATTCCCTTAAATTTCAGCGCTCTGATAATGACTGGCATGACAGCTATTTTCCTGTTCTACAACCTTCTCAGTTGCCTGGCAAAGTTGAGATATTTATCTTTTTCATTTTCTTTTCAGATCTAATCTGTGGTCAGCCAGAACAGAGAAATCCACTATTTGGCATGTGTTCGTCTTCTTGTTTACGACAATCAGATTCAGTCATCTGGCTTGGGTTGGCTGATTCGTTCTCAAAATACCAGAGGTATAATAATTATTATTACTAGTGTAGCCGTGCCATCGAAATTGACGGCAGAAAGGGATGTTTTATAAGTAATATGTATTATATTGTAAGTAATTTTCGTTTAATCCAAATACAATTTTGTAATTTAAAATAGTTCGTTGTTAACGTTAATTGAAGTGTACAATTGCTTATAAATCGTATACTGTACCTCAGGAAAAGATATTCGTATTTTATCCTTATTGTGTGCGAAGTTTAATTCAGGCTGAAATAAAATATAAACCTCGGCCAAGTTTTGTCCTCGCTGCCAATCTATTTCTATGCCTCTCTCTCTCTCTCTCTCTCTCTCTCTCTCTCTCTCTCTCTCTCTCTCATTCAGTCTTTCTTTCTTTGCAATAATCAATCTGTTTCTTTTCGGGGCCACTTTCCATCACTCCTTTCGCTTTGATCGTAGTTCGCAGAGAGAGGGAAAGAAGGAGTTTACTTTGTAGTTTGTCAGCGCAGTAGCTTTTTTGCGTATAGACGTGAATGGGGTTATGACTTCTGTGCGTCAAGATTTTGCACACTGCCCCTCAGTTGTTACATAAAAAAAACAAAATATTTATATATATATATATATATATGTGTGTGTGTGTGTGTGTGTATTATATTTAATAATTTAAATTTTTAAATAATTTAAAGATTTAATTTATTATTATTATTATTATTGAGTGAGAGAAGAGTATGCAAACAAAGTGACACTGCTATACAAATACACAAAATGCAATGTGCCTATCATGACACTTTTTCTGATGTGTATAACAGGCACATGCATCGCAGCCAAATGTGAGTGATATGGTGACATACATAAGTAGTATATGACCTTACAAGTAGGGTCCAGTTAGAAATACTTTCAGTTTAGGTAACCGAGACTACTAAGACTGTCTCCGATTGAAGGCGCCCCAAGTATCTAGATATGACGACCAATTCGCGTTGTCTGCCTTCAAACGTATTAATGAAACAATCTTCTTGACACCAAGGCCATTATGCTATCCCATTTCTCCCGCTTATGCACAGATGTGTAGAGTACATCAATCCCTAGGAGACGTGCCAAACTTGTTATGGGCAGGCAGCTGACAATATGTGTTTAATAAAACCCGTATCCCTTTAGGGTCGTAGGGACACCATATGTATTGCTGCAGTAGTCGCAGTCGTGTTTCAAGTGAAATATTGCCTGACAGAGCCCAAAATTCTATTAGCTTATTTTTAAGCTTGTAGAAGTTTGGGCTCTGTCAGTTTTTTCTTCTCCTATACGGCCCAGTCTGTCCTGCTATTTAATCATAGTTGGGGAGAGGAGAGAGAGAGAGATGGATTCCTACCTTTCCCAAATTAATGTAATGAACTCGGTTCGAATTAGAACTCGGCACTCCGATTCCGAGCCGTTAGACATTACTCCACCGTGACTCCGCTAATATGTGGCACTGAATGGGATATTTACGGAAACCCATCTTAATTCACCAAGACAAAATACGTACATGTTAACATTTCTAGTCATTTAAGCTCAGAAGCCATAAGAGTCTCTCGTGGTGTAGCATCAGTATATTTGTTGTTGTTGTTGTTGTTATTATTATTATTATTATTATTATTATTATTATTAATCGCTTGTTTGGAAATTGGGTGTCGTTAGCTTTTCGAAACAAAGAGTTATCTATTCTCAGCTAAGGAATGTTTTCACGAATATTTGTGTTTTCACCAGCCATATTTATCCAAAGCACATATGGCTTTCCCAAATAAAACACGAGTCGGTCTAAAAGATTTTCCTTATGTTGAAATTCTTATGTTTCCTTCCCTGAGATGAGACACAAGCACCAGTCCGTAGCTAACAAAATAAACAAGCCAGGCACGTACGTTCGCACACTTATTACTCCTCATTAATCAATCCAAATAGATAGATAGATAGATAGATAGATAGATAGATAGATAGACGGTAAGCAGTATTTGTAAGTAAAGTACTGTATATTGAGAAATCGAGCATATATATATATATATATATATATATATATATATATATATATATATATATATATATAGCCACATACAGAATTTCACCATCCAAAACACATCCTTGATAATGGCTACAAAAGTATCCGAAAGTGCATGGAACAATTATAACTATGGATTCCTGTATTCCTTGACCTCCGAAAAACGGGAACATGTTAGATTGCTGTAAAAATTCAATAAAAGATAGGGCTAAATGTTCCTTGTCGACCGTTTTCAATGAAAGATGCATATGAATACTGAGAGTAACATCAAGTGGCGACAGTCTGTTTCATGATTAAAGGCAATCTGCAGCCTATCAAGCTTGAAACAAACTGTGTTGACCTCAGTGTCCACTTTTATATTTACGCTCTATCACTAATATTGATCATTTATAGCATACCCTTAAAATTATATATATATATATATATATATATATATATATATATAAGTGTGTGTGCTTATTGGCCTCTGGGGATGTTGACAATGGGTGTAAGTACATTTTCTGCTATTTCTTAAAAAGGTAATCCATAAAGTTGTTTATTCACGTGTTCCTTAACTCTCTTCATTAGCCATCAGCCAGTAACGAGACATTTTTAGATGAGTATGTGTCATTTCACAAGTATTTAGTCCAAAATTAGAAATAGGTTATACATATATTCCGGCTCTTTAAAAAAAGAAAAACAGTTCTTGATAAAGATTGATACAGTGTTGAAAATACTTGCGCAGTACATGAACTTCGGTTAGATTATCCGCAATTTTAATCCAAATGTACAATATCTTATTCGAATGTATTTGACTTGTCATTTGTCAAAATATTGCACAATTCATGCACATATAGATGAACATGTGACAAATAAGCAAAATAATATTAAGATAAGACAAATTTTAGTAGATAACACCAACATTTTATACAGTAGACAGTGCAAAAAAAAAAAATGACTCCAAATTATAGAGGCTGTTTTAATAAAAGAGAACAAGTCTTTCTCCATAGGGGACCGTATATTAAAGCAGGATTTTAAAAAATAGATAGACATACAAATTTCAGTTTGACCGTTTAAATGACGTCATCTCGAGTGATCTGAAATTCGTTCCATCAAAAGTGAAAATGCCGGAAATAAACAAAAAAACAGTTGCATAAATATACACAAAATAATCCTCGGACAAAGTAAAGAAAATTTTAAAAAATGAATATGAAATTTGGCAAATTTAATGACGACATAAACAACTAATTCAGAAATTCGAAAAATTTAATAAAATGTTTCATAGATAAACGTGTTGATATTATTTTGGCAAAAATATATATATATATATATATATATATATATATATATATATATATATATATATATATATATATATATTATATTCATTCGCAGAATGCAAATTTTAGATTTTTAAACCTGTAAATTTTTAATACTCTAGATTATTCAAGTGGAATATTCTAGAATGTTCCAATAATGTTATCAGTAGTTATTTTTAGCCTAAAAAATACAAACAGAATATTCTGTAATTGATATTCGTGCAAGAAAGTTATCATCATGGAAAGAGGTATAAAACTGACAAATTCATAAAAAGAATTGATTGTTAAGTACTGGAAAGAAGGTCAAAGTTACAGGAAAATCTCAGATAACCTGAATATACCATTTATCACCACTAGTTCATTCATTGTAAGGTATAAAAAAAACTCAAAACTTGAAAACCAAAGAAGAACAGGTGCTCCATTTCTCCAAGATCTTCGAGGAAATTAATGCTTCAAATTAAACAAAATTCAATGATTGCTCACACAGATTCCTGATGAAAGCAAATCATCCTGCAACTCTTGACGAGTTTCAGGATGATTTGCTTTCATCAGGAATCGGTGTCACTAAACGGACAATAAGCAATGAAATTCATAGAAACAATCTAAAGTCACACTCCCCTCCGAAAATGCCACTGCTATTGAAAAGACACAGAAATGCCATGTTGAAATTCGTTTGTGAACATAAAGATAAAGAAAAATCGTATTAGGAAAGAGGATTTTGGAGAGACGAAACCAGAACTGCGTTGTTTGGACATAATTCTAGAAATCATGTGTGGAGGATAAATGGCGATGCCTTCAAACAAATGAACACAATTCCAACAATGAAATTTGGTGGTGGCAGCATCATGGTTTAAGGATGTTTTTTTCTGCAAAAGGTACTGGCAGCATATCAGTAATAGATGGTAGAATGAATGCCGCAGCATATCGAAATATTTTGGAAGTAAATTTAATGATTTCGGCTGAAAATCTTGAACTTCTTCCTGATTGGATCTTCCAACAAGATAATGATCCTAAGCACACTGCAAAATCTAAGAAGAAATAGCTTGCTGAAAATAATGTAAATATCCTGAAATGGCCAAATCAGTCCATAGATTGAGAATCTGCGGCGTTATTTAAAAATTCAAATCCAATCGAGAGCTCTAACATCTCGGACCTGAAAACCGCGTGAGAAGAAGAATAGAACAAATACCAACTATAATTTGCATATCCTTAATTGAGAACTACAAGAAGATGTTATTTGATGCAGAAGTGAATAATGGCTGTTCTACAAAATATTAAATGAAGATTATGTATCCTTTTTGGTATTGTACGAATACTTTTTTCACCCATTAAAATGGATAAATGGGATTTATTTCTGTTAAATCATTGTTTCTGTTTTCTATGCATATTCAGTTATTACGCATCTGTTTACAGTATAAAAAGTATGTTTATTCATTAGTTGGAAATACAATTTATTTAAAAATCAGTATGTGTACGAATATCTGTTCCCCGTCCTATATATAAATATATGCGTGTGTGCGTGCGTGTCTCATTGTGTGTGTATGTGTGTAACAAAAAGTTAAGGAAAGACGGATGCTGAATTCGAACCATCATTGACCGCATCAGAAATGACGCAGTGCGCAACAGCATCAGACAAGAAACGTGCTCGTTGGGAAGCCTCATATCCACCGTCGAGGAAATGTCGAGTAGAATGAACCCGTACGTTATAAGAGTTCAGGAACATTCCACCGCCATCCTACAAACTGCTATCTTAGGGAAATGAAGAAAAAAGCAGACAGAGGGGGAAAAATGGGCGCTGACAATGTTACTGACTGGACAAGAATATCATTCACAAAGACTCAGACATTGGCACGCAACCGAGACAGATGGAAATGGGTGTTTAGAATGCAGTGGCTGGCTGCAGACGAATAAGACCCTCAAGCTCGACTGGAGTTAATAGCAATATGGAGGAGGGTGGGTTCACCTAATTGAGCTTAAAAGCCGCATTCGTGCCTGTTGGGCCTATCAAATGGTGCGGAGAAAGCAGTGGCTAAACTCGGAAACAGGAAAGCGGCCGTCTCTCTCTCTCTCTCTCTCTATCTATCTATCTATCTATCTATCTATCACACACATATACGCGCACACTAAGG